ATGGTTTCCATACATATGATGTCTTAGCAACAGGATCGGTGAGAAAAGCTGAGGTATTTTAGGTTATCCTTGTATTTACAACCATCTGAGCTCATTCCAACACGTACGTTTCACATTTCATACTAGGATTCCTCGCTTTACTTTCGTATTCTGAACGTGGTGGGCGACAAGATGTAACAGGTACTCCTGTCTAGTCTTCAAAATAGCTTTGAAAAGGTCCCCAAAAAATCCGCACCTGCTGCTTTGTTATCACCCTTAAATTTGAGACCACCGTTTACTGTGACTCGTAAATCCTTACAGTTACCAATGTTATGTGAATGGATTTGATTTCTGATGTAATTATGCAAACGATGTGCATTACAGTACTTGTGCTATTACTTGTCCTCAACGACCACCAAATCGTCCACTCATCCAGAGGGTTCATATTAACTTTTAACCCTATTTTATCATTATTGTATTCTAAAACTCTCAGATGTAAGTTATTAATAGCTTGCCTCGATCTTCGAGTTTCATTTAGTATGGATTTTGGGTTATTGTAAAGAACACTGAGCGACAAAGTTATCTTTATAAGTTTGTGGGTGTTGCTGCTTTAGATTGCTAAATCATTATGATATTTCACTTAACGTGAGCGCATTCAGTTTATTGTGCAGCAGTTTAAATTAATATCAGTTTGACTAGTGCATATTACAGAACTTCACTTCGCTTGTAATAAGATATTACTATTGTTACCGTGTCTGTTTCTCCATGCTCCGATATTCTATACAAAGTCATAGAATATGGTTTTTTCCTCTTCATTTTAATTATTCTGATAAGTTTTGACTAAGGCGTTACTGAATATCATCTATCTTAATTATAGCGTTGACATAATCAGTAGTATCGTTTTGTGATGATATTACTGCATTTGATGTACAATTTGTGTTTGTCTAATGTATTCTGTGAATAAAATATTTTTACTATTAAGAGCATTCTTTCTGTTTTAAATTATTTATTAATACTTGATTTGAGTTTTTAAGCTATGTCCAGTCACATTGTTGATGTATTGTGCTACTGTGAAAAAATCTAAGATTCTAACAATGTATCATTAAAGTTTTCTGACTGCTGTCAGTCAGTCAGTCAGTAACAACGTAGAACTTCGTACGTACGTACATCAGTTCGAGTTGCCACACCACATTAGCACAGAGATGCACTTGTCGATTCAAATCCCGTAGTGGTAGAGGTAATAAGAGTATAAGCAGTAATCGGGAAGATTAGGGTTTGGAGATGTTATTTAAAGAGTATAATCCAGTGAAAGAAATTTGGAAAGAGGAAAAAAAGGGACATGAAGAATTCAGAAGATTAGAATTTGGGAGAACACAGAGAGTGGATGCACCTGCGCCATTGCAAACGATTTTGAGCCATGTCATTCAGGGTCTCTAACCATCGGTTGCTATCATCTCGCGGTCCCCAACCAGGTAGTCTACACCTACCAACATGACTCAGTTCACTTGTCAGTGACTTCATGGACTTGTGCCATGTTTTGGTTTGGCCGCCCCTAGCTTTCTTCCAACCTACTCCTATACCACTGAACATAGCACGTCGAGGCAGTCGGTCGTTGGGCATACGTAACACGTGTCCCAGCCATCTCAACTGATGAAGTTTCACTACGTCATCAATTGATTTGCCATCCTTACCTAGTACCCGTTTCCTAACAACTGTGTTACTTACTCGATGGTCCCATGATATATGAGCAATGTTTCGAAGACACCTATGATCAAATACTAGTAACCTACGGATATCCTCTACTCTTACCGGCCATGTTTCACTGCCATAAAGTAGGACGGAACGAACTGCTGCGCAGTAAACACGTCCTTTGGTTGATAGACGGATATCTCGCCTACGCCATAAATGACGCAAGTTGGCAAAAGCTAGTCGAGCCTTCTGTATCCGTGCTGAGATTTCGTCACACACTAAACCACAAGGGCTGATGAGACTTCCAAGATAAGTGAAGCGGTCGACACACTCAACTACTTCACTCCCTATCACTAGTTCGGGTGTCGATGTAACCCAATCCTGAAGCAACATTTTGCATTTCGAGGGAGAGAATCGCATCCCGAACATGCTTGCATTGTTGCTTAGAGTGGTCAGAAGACTCTGCATTTTGTCAGTGTCTTCACCAAATAAAACTATGTCATCAGCATATTCTAAGTCAACAAGTGAACCTCCTGGTAGAAGTTCAACCCCTGTAAATTTAGATGAGGAGAGTGTTATCTCTAAAAGTACGTCGACCACAAAGTTGAACAAGAATGGGGAGAGTGGACAGCCCTGACGAACACCACTTGAGGTAATCAATTCTGATGACAGTTCGCCATAAGCTCTCACTCGACCAGTTGTGTTCGAGTAGAGAGCCTTTATAAGGTTAATGTACTTCTTTGGTACTCCTTTCAGTGACAAACACTGCCATAGAACCTCACGATCAATCGAGTCGAATGCCGCCTTAAGGTCGAGAAATACTACCATTGTGGGGCGTCTGAATGTGTGTCTGTGTTCTAGAACCTGACGTAGTGTGAATATCTGATCTATACAACCACGTCCAGGTCGAAAACCAGCCTGGTTTTCTCTAGTCTGCTCTTCACGAGCTTTAGTTAGGCGTCGAAGTATTATTGAAGCTAATATTTTAGACACTATATTAGTCAAACTGATTCCTCTGTGATTGTCACAAGAGGACTTTTGTCCTTTCTTATAAACTGGCACAATCAGTGATTGAGACCAGTCAGATGGGATTACGTCCAGTTCCCAAATTCTACCTAAGACCTCAGTTAATCTCATTGCTAATACTGGACCACCATCCTTAAAAATCTCAGGAGTAAACCTGTCAGGGCCTGCTGCTCTCCCTCGTTTCAGATTTCCTATGGCTTTTTCAACTTCGTAAAGGGACGGAGGACCTACATTAACTTGCCATTCAGGTTGACTGGAGATCGTGGGAAACCGAAGTGTGGCTGAAGGCCAGTTGAACTGATCCCTAAAGTGTTCTGCCCATCGATCCAATCTCCTGGATTGAGAATGAATAATATGTCCATCTTTCTCTGAGATTGTTTCGCTAACGGTCGGGTTCCTAATTCCGGTTTCCTTAACGAGTCTGAACAATTGTCTGCTATTACCTATTGCCGCTGCCTTTTCCATCTCTCTTGCTTTCGCTACCCACCACTGTTCGCGATCATTGCGTAGACTTCTTGTCAGCTTGCGCTTAAGCTGACTCCGCTCTTCATTATGTTCAGAGCCAGGTGGAATGAGTTTCCGAGCATCTATCAGTGCGATAGATGCTGCTGAGATCCAGTGTTGCTCCCTAACCTTCTGGTTTACCTTACTAGCAGATATCACTGCTGTTTCCACAGCTTTTCGGATATCATTCCATGCTGCATCGGGGTGGGCATCACATACATGGCTGCCTAACTGTTTTCCTAGTTGTTCCTGAAATATACTCTTAGCTTGACTATCATTAAGTAGGGCCCTAAGAGGTTTCCTTGCAGGGTCTTTCCTACGTCCAGTAAGACGCAAGCAAATACGCGCTCGCACTAGAGCATGATCTGAATCTAGGCATGTGCTCCAGAATGAGCGACAGTCTTCTATCGAGCCCCTCCATCGGTGGCTGATAGCGATGTGATCTATTTGGGTCCAACGTTGGGACGAATTAGGGGGTCGCCATGTTAAAAGATGTTTTTCCTTATGCTTAAAGTTAGTATTTGCAAGGAACAGGCGGTTATCTGAGCATAGCTGCTGTGTATAAAATATTCAATGTTTGTAATATTATAGAGTGGTTACATGCGTGTAAAATGTACAGTTATTTTGCTGATCTTCTGGTTTGTCGGAATACATATACAAATCCCGTTAGTTAGTAAGCTACAACGTAGGACCAGGCACATATATGCATCGGTCCAAATTGTCACACCTCATTATCACAAGATGAACACAAAATTCTTTGAGGTGGTCACTTCACTTGTAGTTATGTATAAAAGATTGTGAACAAGGATATAGTACAGGAAGAAAGAATCAGGTTGTAGGAATAAATGTTAAAGCAATTTTAATTTCACGGTTTAAGGGAAGACAAAGATTGTATATACGAATCCCAACCAAAGTAGGGTTAGTTAAAATATATCGAATGGCTTTAGGTACACTGGCTACAGTTATAGCTGAATGTACACTTAACGCAAAGAATTTAATGACTGTCGGTATTATCTGTCGCAAGGTTCCAATATTTTATTTGGGACATACCAAAAACCTCCACAAACTTACAGGAACACTCATCTGAGGATTCCATGTTAAGGTTGAATTTGTGTTCCTCTATATTTCCATTTTTTGATTGACATTTGACTCATCACCATCCCTCCGCTTTATTTTGTTATCGTCTGTCACAGATAAATTCAATTTAGTCGCCTTTACAGTGTTGTGTCCACAAAAACAGAAATCTGGCAATGAAATTTCTGTATTCTCAACTGTCTATCCTGAGAAATTAGTCCAAGTTCCTAAATTTGATCATGAAATAAACTTTAAAATGATGGAAGTGAAGACAGCTTGTAGGGTTACGAGTAACTTATCATCAGTTTTGGATGATTTTAAAATAACAAAGCAAAGCAGCTATTCGTTTATTTAACCTATTCAAAGATTTATGTATACAATTTCGTTTTACTTTGTCACTAAACGTTTTAAGTGAGTAGTGCACTAAAATAGGTTTCGCAAGTAACAGCGAGTGGATTTGAGCTTTTAAACAGTAGATTCTTGTGCATGTATGTGCGTAATATCATATTTTAATCTTCTGTTAAAGCGAATTCGAAGATAACTACGACATATTTTATCTAAGACAGTAGACACTGTATTATTGAAACACCTGAGTAATTTTCTTGGTCTGACTAGAAAAATGGTTGTGCATGTCAATGAAATAATATCAGCGAGAAGTATTTTTTGTTGGAATGTCTTTGTTTTTTAAACAAGTATGAATATTGATTTGCTGTCTATCTACTTTGCAGAACTTTCCAAGCATCTATCCAGCCACACAATGGTGTTAAGTAAGTAAACAACTTTGACAGTTTTGACGTTCGTGCTTAGTTACCGCAGATCTCATTCGAAAACGTGCAGAACACAATGATGGGGAGATATACTCCCTTGAAGAAGTGGCTTTACATCAACAAAATCTTGAAAGGTAAAACGTTTGTTACATAATTTAAAGAAAACAAGGATTGAGCTTATTGAGAACTTGTGTAAAAGCCTTAGAATATTATATCTACAAAATAATCTCATTCCAAAAATCGGTATTGCTAATTACTTACTGATTTTTTGTTTCAGAAAATCTATCAAAGCTGAAAAAACTAGAATATTTGAATTTAGCTCTAAATAATATTGAAAAAGTGGAGAACTTAGAAGGTTGCGAATCCTTGAAAAAGCTAGATTTGACAGTAAATTTTATTGGGGACTTGTTTAGTATCGAATCTTTAGGTAATGTGCATTTTCTTGAAGAACTGTAAGTTAGCTGTAAAAACTTTGTTTAATTTTCTCCTCATATGTGTTGTAGTTATTTAACTGGAAATCCGTGCACAGAATATCCAGGGTATAGAGAATTCGTGATTGCTACGTTACCGCAATTAAAAGTAAAGATAGATTTTCTTTTTTTACATATAAAGTTGCTAGATGGAGTGGAAATAACTAAATCGGAACGCATTATCGCAATGCAAAACTTGGAACGTATTCGTCCAATCATAGAAGAAAAACAAAGAGAGCACGGATTGAAAAGAGTAAGTGCGTGGTGAATTTTTATGATTAACTGATTATGAATTTCCGTACTACTTATTTAATACGAAGTTATTTCACAGAATTCTGAAAAGGTCGAAGCAGTACGAAGAAACGAAAGATTCGCCAAGGCAAATACAGATTCCAGTTAGTAAGTTCGTAACATTTTATTCTAATGGTTTTTACCTAGTTTACGATATACGGCATTTAATAGTTAGTTTAGGCATAAATTTAAGATTTTTTCTGAGTCCCAATAACACTATAGTATAGCTGGATTTTGCAGATCCGGATCTAGTAGGGTTTTAGATTTCCACAGCTGTTATTCACACAGTACGTATGACTCACAAATTAATGTCATAATAATATTAAGAAAAGGTTTTATCTTACCCGTTCCATCAGATAAATATAGTAGACTGATAAGTGTGGTGATTTGACGGTAAAAACGAATATTAAAAAAATAAACCTAACCGACCTGACTGAATATACTATTTTACCAATGTTTATCTGCTGTAAAACGATCTTACAATATTAGGTGTTAAACCTAATTTTATAGTACCAAAGATATAGAGGTTGACAGTTTACTTATAAATGTCCATAATTGTTTCGGGCAATGAAGTAAGCCTGAACATATCGGAATGGAGGCAAATGCTCTGCATCTTTGTAGTCTGTTTTACTGTTTTTGTAACTTACTATTGTTATCAAAAGACACCTTGTTTACAATACATGAAAAATTTGTATAAAATAGGTGATATTATTTTTAGTAGCGTAAGGTAGAAACCATCTATATCACCTTTTTTTAGACGAATTCAAAGCAATATATTTTCCGCTTCAAATAATTATGGAAAACTGCATTCCTCATAAATGCCATTACGCTATTTGAAGATATCTTTTGAATAATTTTTATTTACCATGAAAATGTTTGAATTGTTTTATTGTATGATTTCTGTGTACTGTATTTTCAAAAACAAAATTTCATGGTGCTAAATTTCCTTACTCTCCTTGTGTGATGTTCCAAAATATTATTACTATCGTAATGTTTTTGTTTGTTGAACTCTACTTATCATATTCAGGTTTTCTATTTAAAAAAAGCAACATTCTTTTGCAGTAACTGTTTACGTTTTACGATACTCATGGGCTTCATTGCTTCGACTATTTTGTCAGTAGCTAAGAGCAGTTGTACCCCTCAGACCAGTGTTATCTGCTGCGGTCTCCTTGATTTCTTATCTCCGTTTATGGCTTCATAAGTGTTTTGGTTGGTTTGAACAGACATCATTCTATTTTCCACTGATCATTCGTCCATACGTTCTCCACCTAATATTACCCTAATAAATGCAAATATTGCAAGTAAAACAATTAGAACTGATAAAAGCAGCGATTTTAAACCAATCTACCGGAAATGCAATGACGTGTACTGACAATATCTTCATCCTTTTTGGTTCAACACAATACTTTCGACTATAAACACAGTCTGTTTTTCTAAACAAATGAAGACTTCTTGTTTATTATGTATTGAGCGAACAATCGGTTTCAATAACCTCATCATCAGGCTCTATAATTATGATAATTTACAAATGCCAAAATAAGGCATGTATTAATGAATTTCACAATGTTATGTGTTAAAAATGGTAAACGTTTACATCTGTTACGACATATATACTTCGAAATTGTGTTATTTGCAAATTTAAAAAGGTTATTTAAAAAAGTTCAGAATGATTTGGAGTAGTGTCCAATCACAATCAGTAGAATAGTATTATAGCCCAAATGAAAATGCGAAAAAATTGTGTGAATAAAATGCATAGTAGAATTTCATCTTGTCAATTGAGATAATAATCATAATAGTAATAATAATAATATTGTTGTGTAAATATAATATGTAATAAAGGGGGTGTTATCAAGGTAATTACAATAAACGAATCGGGAATGATGGGTGTGAAGAATAAAATAGAGGTAATCAAAAAATAATAGTAAGGAAAAAAGAGACTAGATATACCTTTTCTGGATACATAAGTTTGGTTTTCTGGAGTTGATCCAGATGGCTTCGGCTATGTAGAGCAACCGTAATATAGCTCCTTGAGGTAGATATTTTGGGACTTGATATGAAATAGAGAAAGCTTCCTCTATTTTGATATAATGTTCACTATCTACCAAGTGAAAAAAGATAGTGCTGTTGATCGATTTAGTGACTGCTTTTCCCAACCATGCTGGTACATGTTCACGAGCACGCAAGGATAAAGCCCTCTGAGTACGGCCTATGTAACTAGTTCCACAGGAGCAGTTAGATTGGTATACACACATGGAGGAGTCCATCTTCTTCTACTTAAAGTTACATCCCTTTTTATGGAGAAAGTAAATTAAAGTTACATTAGGATCGCCATTGGCATCTAATCTGAGCCATATCCGATAACGCCGCTGTGTTGCACCATCTCTAGGACCCCAACCAGGGAGTCGTGAAGGACCGACACAAGCCAGCCCTTTGCAGCTTTCTTTCATAGCACGACACCATGTCATACACTGACCACCTCTCCGCTTTTTCCAACCAGTCCCAGAGTCGGCAAATAATGCACGACGTGGAATTCTCTGGGACTACATTCGTAGAACATGTCCAAGCCACCAAAGTCGATGTTTCAAGATAGTGACACCAGTCGCATTATCGTCTCTGTACCCGAACACACGATGCCGAAGCTCTGCATTACTAACATGGTGTTGACACTGGATGTCAGCAATCCTTCGGAGACAGCGATGATCGAACACAGAGAGTCGTCTAACATCCCCAACTCGGAGAGGCCAGGTTCCACAAGCATAGAGCAAAACTGCTCCCACCGACGCGTTGTAGATCCGACCTTTTACAGCTAGACTGACATCACGAAGACGCCAAAGATGGCCCAGATTGACATAAGCCGCTCTGGCTTTCACTATACGTGCATTGATCTCATCAGTCAGGCCACCACCAGCACTTATGCAGCTACCTAGATACACGAACTTCTCAACTACTTCTATCTGCTCACCATCCAGGGTGAGTACAGGATTAGAATCCTGCCAGTCTTGTAGAAGTACTTTGCAGTTCGAAGGTGCAAAGCACATACCGTACTTACGGACACTGGTTGCCAAATGACTAATTGCGGATTGTATGACTTGGGCATTATCGGACAGTAAGATAATATCATCCGTATACCCAAGGTCGAGAAGTCTTTCTACAGGCAACAGATCCACACCGCCATTACTTACATCCGTCAGAGCTGCTTCCAGAATGTCATCGATGGCAAAGTTGAGGAGGAATGGTGAGATTGAGCAACCCTGTCTAACCCCACTGCTCGAATAGGACAATGGAGAGAGGTGGTTGTATGCCCTCACTCTGCCTGAGGTGTTTGTATATGGGCCTTCAGGATGTTAACAAACTTCTCAGGCACACCCTACTTCCCAGAGAACAGTCCTGTCCAACGAATCGAAGGCAGCCCTAATGTCAAGAAACACTACGATTGTTGGCCTTTGATAAGTATGACGGTGTTCTAACATTTGGTAGACAAGTGCCCAAGAAAGGATCTCACCATGCTGATGGGAGATCTAAACGCCAAAGTCGGAATAGACAACACCGGAAATGAAGATATCATGGGACGACATGGATTGGGAGAGAGAAACGAGAATGGGGAAAGATTTGCAAATCTGTGTGCATTCAACAAATTGGTCATAGGCGGCACAATATTTCCACACAAACGTATACACAAAGCTACATGGACCTCACCGGCCCACACCACATAGAAACAGCTAGATCATATTTACATCAATAAAAATTCCGAAGGACAATGGAAGATGTGAGAACCAGGAGAGGAACTGACATAGCTTCAGATTACCACCTAGTTGTGGCCAATTTAAAACTGAAACTAAAGAAGAACTGGACAAACAGCACTACAAAGGTTCAATACAGCCTTCCTTCGAGATACTGACAAACTCAATGAATTCAAGGTAGCTCCCAACAACAGGTTCCAAACCTTACTGGATCTACTGAAGGAAGAAGAAACTACTATGGACCACATAGCTTCAATATTGTTTGTATGCACTCCGGGTGTGTAAGCTTATAATTGTTATTACGCACATATCCCTAAAATAGTCATATCACTTAACAGTCGAAGCTTCAGTAACATCTGCGAATGTTGCAGTTAATGTTACCCGTGCTTTTATTATACCGTTCGCGACAATTATCAGGATTTGCCTTAGTCTCAATCTGGATCGAGCAGACTTCTTCCACCAACAATATCTTCATCCTTTTTGGTTCAACACAATACTTTCGACTATAAACACAGTCTGTTTTTCTAAACAAATGAAGACTTCTTGTTTATTATGTATTGAGCGAACAATCGGTTTCAATAACCTCATCATCAGGCTCTATAATTATGATAATTTACAAATGCCAAAATAAGGCATGTATTAATGAATTTCACAATGTTATGTGTTAAAAATGGTAAACGTTTACATCTGTTACGACATATATACTTCGAAATTGTGTTATTTGCAAATTTAAAAAGGTTATTTAAAAAAGTTCAGAATGATTTGGAGTAGTGTCCAATCACAATCAGTAGAATAGTATTATAGCCCAAATGAAAATGCGAAAAAATTGTGTGAATAAAATGCATAGTAGAATTTCATCTTGTCAATTGAGATAATAATCATAATAGTAATAATAATAATATTGTTGTGTAAATATAATATGTAATAAAGGGGGTGTTATCAAGGTAATTACAATAAACGAATCGGGAATGATGGGTGTGAAGAATAAAATAGAGGTAATCAAAAAATAATAGTAAGGAAAAAAAGAGACTAGATATACCTTTTCTGGATACATAAGTTTGGTTTTCTGGAGTTGATCCAGATGGCTTCGGCTATGTAGAGCAACCGTAATATAGCTCCTTGAGGTAGATATTTTGGGACTTGATATGAAATAGAGAAAGCTTCCTCTATTTTGATATAATGTTCACTATCTACCAAGTGAAAAAAGATAGTGCTGTTGATCGATTTAGTGACTGCTTTTCCCAACCATGCTGGTACATGTTCACGAGCACGCAAGGATAAAGCCCTCTGAGTACGGCCTATGTAACTAGTTCCACAGGAGCAGTTAGATTGGTATACACACATGGAGGAGTCCATCTTCTTCTACTT